CCAACAGCAAGTATATTTACAATATACAGTGGTGCCTCGCACAACGGGTGCCTCACACAACGATGAATTCACACAACGATGCCTTTTTCTGTTAAATTTGCCGCCTCACACAACGATGTTTCCTATGGGGAATTTTCACACAACGATGCCTCTTTTTCGCTCCTGTAAAAGTGTCTTACAATGTTTGGAACCTGTTTTAAATGCTTGCAATGGTTAGCCCACCTCCTGAAACCTATGCAAACTTATTTTGGTGTTGTTCTGACACTTCGTTAATTTGTGGTGATTTTTTGTTTTTCCCCTCATTGAACTCCATGCATTTCAATGAGGGGAAAAACAAAAAATCACCACAAATTAACGAAGTGTCAGAACAACACCAAAATAAGTTTGCATAGGTTTCAGGAGGTGGGCTAACCATTGCAAGCATTTAAAACAGGTTCCAAACATTGTAAGACACTTTTACAGGAGCGAAAAAGAGGCATCGTTGTGTGAAAATTCCCCATAGGAAACATCGTTGTGTGAGGCGGCAAATTTAACAGAAAAAGGCATCGTTGTGTGAATTCATCGTTGTGTGAGGCACCCGTTGTGCGAGGCACCACTGTATATTGTAAATATACTTGCTGTTGGAAGAAGCTGATTTTGTGTGATTCAACTGGACTGCCTGGACTGGGACAAAACTCTGTTAATTTACACTAACAAGGGGTTATGGGCCCTGCGCCAAGGAAGCTGGTGAGTGCCAGAGGGTACCACAAAGCCAGAGGAACCAGTTCAGAAATGGAGAAAATCCAGTAAGGTGAGTGTCCTGCCATTCAGAGCCCAGGAGGGGTAAAGGATGGAGGACTGAGATAAAAAGGCAGCAAAATACAGTCAGTTGGGGCAGCAGGAATGGGAAGATTCCCTCTCACAAAGCTAAATGAACGGAACTATCTGACTTGGTCAGTTAAAGCCGAAATGTTGCTGAGAAGGGAGGATTTTTGGAAGATTGTTTCCAGCCCCCCTTGTCCTGAATGAGGAACAGATAAAGCAAAATGAGAAGGCTTTAACAACAATAATTCTGTGCTTAAAGGACAGCCAATTAATACACGTGTGTGGACCGACCTCAGCTAGGCAGGTAAAATCTGCACCGTGTCTATGTTCGGGACTCTGCTGGCAGCAAAGTTGCACTGACACGTAAATTATACAGAGCAAGGCTTGACCATGATGGAAGCATGTCAGAGCACGTACATCAGATGAGAAATCTGTTTGTGGAGCTTGAATAGAGGGACATGGAGTTCACAGAGAATCACAAGGTGTTTGTGATGCTGGGCAGTCTTCCAGAAAACTACAATGTGCTGGTAACAAGCCTTGAATCCATGCCACAGAGGGACTCTGCTAATTTACACCAACATATTTGAGTGCTAATCATGTTCTGTTGTATGCTTGTGCCCTGATTCAACCCAATCTCCCTTTGAGGCAATTAGTAAAAACATTTTTACCCTCATTGCTTAAAGATGTTTCATCCCAAACTAAAAGCTCCTGAGTTTATCTTTCTTACAAGACAGTGTTGTCCTATATGCATCTTTCTATATGTTGCTGAATTGTAATTCCCTTTATCCATCATTATTGTGTAAACTTACTAGGGCTGATAGGAGTTACAGTTTAGCAATACTGAAAGGACCACATTCTCTGTAAAAAATAATCTCTACCATCTTTGTGATTTTACGGGCCAGCAGTTTCCTTGCATCCTGGTTCTAATGAAGCTCACCCTAAATGTTTTCCCATCTTCCCTCGAATGATGTCCTTTTTTTCTCTGACAGACATCATCATGCCTCTGAAGGTTGCATTCACTTACCTGCCAATCTTACTCCAAGCCAGGATACCTCAAGGAGCAAAGATCCGCATAAGCCAGGAGCGAAATCCATCGGCCACACAACCACAAATTCTGTCCAACAGCCCCACAGTCTGTATCATTGTGAGACGGGAGGCGAGAGGGATATCCCACTCGCCGGAGAGCTGTCCCTCCTCCATACTGAAGAGAAGGAAATACAGACACAACCTACCAGCATCCCCAAGGACAGAGCCAGATGGGCTAGGAAAAGAGATACAAAGAATGACATTAGGAGGGGTTCAGGGAAAATCAGCGGGAAAAGAAAGGAAGAAGAGGGTGGAGTTTGAGGCGGGGACAGTAGGGATAAAAAGGACGGAAGAGCAGTTACTGCCAGGCTGGGAATAGGTATGGATGGAGGAACCCTGGACTGGGCCATGGGAGACGTTAAGAGTGCCCAAGGAGGAGGCAGAAGAGAGATCCCACCCAGACCCTCGTATTGGGGAGAAGCAGAGGCGAGGGAGTGGAGAAGGAGAATGAGAGAGGAGAAAGAGAAAGCTGAAAGGAAGGAAAGGCTAGAATGGAGGATAAGTGAGATAAGGAGGAAGGGTTACAGGGAAGACCCTGGCAGGATTCAGCACCAGAGACACAACTCCTGTGGCATAACAACCGGGAGGACGAGTCACTGCCCTTGTTGGAAGGTGAGACGGGGCAGACCGTAGCAGACAACATCTTTACAGATTGGCTGGGTCCGTAGAACGCCAGCGGCAGAAACCTGCCCGTTCTTATTTGAAGATTGGAAGCCCTTTCAAGACCCGTTGTCAGAAAGAGAGAAGCAATCGGATCATGTTATGAACACTTATTTGTTGAATACCCCAATAAATATTACACCTAGTTTGAAACAAAAAAAGTCTGCCGAGTTCATTGAAACAAAAATGGAGCCAAAGATCAAACCCTCACAACCATACATACATCAGCATCTCCTCTTGTTTGAATCATTTATCTTAACTAGCAGAATGTGCCAGTTAAAGTTGAATAACTTATATAAGAGGACACATTTTGGACATGATGCTTGTAGACCAAGCAGGAGTCATCATTTTCACTCACGAATTGTCTATGAGTTTTACCTGTCCCATCTTTTTAGAATTAGAAAATAGCAAAAAGAATAAGAGGTCATTACCAGAAATGACCATTTATGATTGTCTCCTCCATCGGGGAAATGCTACATTTATATCGAACTCAAGTCTGTCAGCACCCGGATCAATGAAGGTCAGGATGAAACAAAACCGTTATTCTTCAATTGCATGCAGCATTCGATTACTGCCTCTTTAAGAACCTTATGGTAGATTGGCGTGCATATTTCCAAGGCAACTGCGGGCGGGGATCCGGCGTCTTCAACGTGTGATCGCGGTGACGTACAACTAACCTTAGCAATAACAAAAGTGACGTACAGCGGCGCGTCCGTGGCGGTTCCGCTTCTGCGCATGCGTGCCCTAGTGGCCTGCTTCTATTTACGTGGGGGGGCTGCAAGATGGCGGCGTTGTTAGCGGCGAGGAGAGGCTAGAAGAAGTGGGGAGGTACTCCGACCCGGTTAAGGGGAGGGAACGGGAGGAGCCGGAGCCGTGGGTGGTAAGGCAGGGTCACCGAACAGGTGGGAAGGGGGGTGGGGGGTTAGATGATGGCGGAGCCACGCCGGGTGCCGTTCATTAGTCTGTCACCCGTGAGGCGTCGAGAAGGCGAGACCCCGGTGCTCGAGCGAGAGCCTGGAGGGGCTCGCGAGGCGGAGCAGCAGCCATTGGTGCATGAGGCCCTGAAACAGCCAGAACAGCAACAGCAACATCATCCCCACCACCACCACCACGACAGCGGTCGGGCAGAGGCGCCGCCGCCGCCGCCGCCGCCTTTCGATTCCACTCTTCGGCCGGAGTCCCAGTCGCTGCCATTGCCGCGGGAGATCAGCCGGCCCGAGCAAACGCCGAAGCCGCTGCTGCCACCTCAGCGTGAGCCTCCAAGGCCAGAACCGCCGCCTCCACCTCACCAGCACTTACAGCGCGAAGGCAACCGGCAGGAGTCGCCAACGCCACCGGTAGTACCGCGCCATACGGTTCGGCTGGAGTTGGTGCTAAAGGATCCAACCGAGGAAAGCTGTGTGGAGTTCAGCTATCCTGAGTTGCTGTTGTGTGGCGAGCCACGGGTATGGTGTCTACTCTTGCTGACCACCTTTTTTCTCCCACAGTTTTGAATCATGCTTTGTCTTTTGTGCCCTTTTTCTTTAGCGCTATGAGAAAGAAGGCTTACTAATGGGGAGGCAAGCAATTCTAGAGTCACAAAGACTATCCAGGGCCTTTAAAGCCTTATTTGTTACAGATGGTGAACTTGTAAGAAACCAGCTTCTCTCCTGTTTGGTATTTAAACACTTTCTGATGCAAATCAGAGTTCAAAACAGGGAAAGAAATATTTCTATTTGGAATTCTTTCCATATTTTTTTTAATTTTAATATGTATTTTATTATGTATTTTTGAAAGGAAGGCATTCAGGTGGACAGAGGGATAGAGCATGTATTTTATGTTGGTCTTCAGATAAGCCCCCAGCATTTGTCTCCGTAGGGCATATCTTCAGTTTTCATTCAGTTCAGCTAGCAAATTGTGAGTTCTCTCTCCAGTATGGATTTTTTAGCCTGTAGACAAAGAGTATTAGATGCAAAACTGAGCCCGCTATTGCATCCTTTTATCAGCACTATTTCCTTCATTTCAAAGTACTATAGAGTTCAGGATTGTGGGAAGATTTCTTATGGCACATATACATGCCAGCAGCTCAGTGTATCACGACTAATTTTAAGTAAATGCTGGGTTAAAATACATAACTTTAGAGAAAGGAAGTCAAAATAAACTGCAACTTATTCTTTAGTTGTTAAGTTTGTCTTTGATAGCATTGAGAGTTAGTAGCATTTCTCTGAAAAGAAATGGTGGAGATACTCTCGATTTTTAATGTACAGAAGAAAAGAACAACTATTGTCATATATGAGTGTTCTGCGAAATGGAATAACACAGTAAGAGATGTCTTAATTCCACATAGATGAGTTCCCCTGTAATGTATAGGTCATAGTATAGCCAAAATACTTCTTGCTCCTAGTAAAGCTAGTAAAAATAGCAATAGCAAAATAATATTGGCCCATTCACTAGGTTGAAAAAACTGCATAAACTCCATAATTTATTCTGAATTCATTTACCAGGTAAAGCTAGACCACTGTGCTGCCCAATCCATAGGAAGGAATGGTAATAGGCCCATATTTAATGGAATTTATTTTTTGTGGGGAAAAATTATTTTTGGGGCACATCTGCTTTGGGGGGAAATGCAAGCACAGATTAGTAACAAACTGCTGATCATATCTCCCTTTGTGATGTATAACAGAATACTTTAACTGTGTTTTAGGTAGTCATTTGGTGAAATTACTAAATGTAGAAATTTTGAAATGGACTAATCCACAAAATACAGGCCTGAGAGCTACTGCAGATATTAGTTTAGGATACTTGCAGCAAAACCTACAAATAAGAAATGTAACATGTAATTCAGAATTTAATGAGCTGCAGGTATGTTCCGCAATGGCAAGATGGACACTTGCCTTTCAATTATGTTATACTGGCTGATTGGATAGATCCTGGTTGACTGTTATGAACAGTTGTGTTTATCTGCGCTGTACCTCTCCTGAACATTATTGAGGTATCAAGGCACCTCTTGTGCAATCTTCTGTTTTCCCTTCTGCTGCATAGTATTTTGAGAGGTAAAACTTGAATGATTCTTACATTTGTTGAGACCATTGTGCTTGCAGTACTGCAGACCACTATATAATTTTACTTTTACTGTATCTGTATAAATCTGAAATCTGCTTTCACAGTGCAGCATTACAGCAAAGCACTTGTTCTGTTCCATATTTACTCTGGGATGTTGTAGTAGAATGCCTATTTGAATGAATATTGTTGGGTGTTTTCCAGATGGGTACAGTGCAAAATAATGGGAATAGTAGCTGTTTCTGAAGCCAAATGCAGGCATGCCCATAAATGCCTATGGAGACCACATTTTATAAGGCAGTGTGCCATATGTGACCAATATGACTCTGTTGTGAGGCAGTACTGAATGAGTTTGAATGGTTATGAAATAAAAGAAACTAGGGAAATTTAAAAGGAATGGTATAAACACAACATTTTATTCCTAAATGCAGTTAGTTCTGAGCAGCCCTCTCACCCAGAACACAGAAAGAGTACTCAGGAAAACACATTAATCCATGTGTGATATATTACATAGCATTTGATTTTAACAGTGCTGATAGTGCTGCTACAACAGAAGGGTAGGTTCAACCTGCTTATGTTTGAAATATATGTTAACCTTATGCTTGTGAAATATGTAAACGTTGGTTGGCAGTAAATTTTCCTTTAATGGACAGTTCTTTATCAAGAGTTAGGAGGTAGTATGGCTCTTTTGAAATCCACTAATGATATTACAAAACACTACTTTGTAATATGCTAATATTAAAGAAGGATCGAGAATATCTTAGTATGTTCATTGTCAACTGAGGTTATTCTACTTTATCCTCATAGCAACTCTGAGTTGGTTCAGACAGTGAGATAAATCATGCTGGAATTGAGACATATTGATTGACTTGTGCACATTCTTCTCATCCTAGAAAAGAGGTCAGAAGCATTTTTTTCATTATTCATAGCTTTTTTTGGTCCAAAGTGCAGAAATGGATTTGTTTGAAATAAGTCAACTTCCAACTATAGGTTATGAAGCTGACCTGTTCAGTGAAGTATACAAGTTATAATTGCTTACAGTTTACATATGTCTACTCAGCTTGGCTTAAAAAAACAAAAGCTTCGTTCTGGGAGTACTTCCTGACAGACACCTAAATGTGGCTTACCTCGGAAAAAAGCAGAAACTGGAAGGCTTTGAGGCTTAGCCGTATCTTCCATTCCTATTCGGGGGGGGGAGTTCTCAGTTAGTACCAGGGCAGGAACAGGAAGCTTGGGTGGACTTAAGTGTAATTAGGCCTAAAAGCCTTCTAATGTAGGCCTTTCTCCAGGTGAGATACATTTAGATAAGGTACCTGTCAGGTAGAACTCCCAGAATAGACATCTATAGGATTTGTAGTCTAAGTTTTTTTTTAAAAAAAATCGTATCCATAACATCTAGTCCTTGTTTTTTCATCACAATGCTCACTGATCAGTTTTGTCTTGCTCTACTCATCACATGTTAAAGTAGGACTTTGTAGATCTGGGTTCAAATCCCTGTTCATCCGTGGAAATTAAATGGGGAGGTAGCATTGATAAACTACTCCTTGAATATTGCGCATACTAAAAAAATCCTATTAGGGTCACCAAGGTTCCCTCTAAACTGGGCATGTGTGTGTGTACAAGTCTCTGCATGCAGTTCTCTTCCTCTGTGTAGCTATTGCCTTAGGTTCAAGTCACAATGGAACTTTCCATTTAAGAAGGCCCTCTTGTCTCTCCTTGCTATTCTTTGGAAGTCTGCATTCAGTATTCTGTAACTTTCCCTATCTCCCTTGCATTTTGTTTCCCTTCTCTGCTATTTGTAAGGCCTTGTTGGACAGCCACTTTGCTTTTTTGCATTTCCTTTTCTTTGGGATAGCTTTTGTTGCTACCTCCTGTACAATGTTACAGGCCTCCATCCATAGTTCTTTCGGCACTCTGTCCACCAAATCTAGTTCCTTATAACTCTTCTTCATTTCCACTGTGTATTTATAAGGGATTTGGTGTAGATTATACGTGACTAGCCCAGTGGTTTTTTGTACTTTCTTCAGTTTAAGCTTGAGTTTTGCTATATGAAGCTGATGTTCAGAGCCACAATCAGCTCCAGGTCTTGTTTTTATTGACTGTAAAGAGAGCTTCTCCATCTTTGGCTGCAGAGAATATAATCAATCTGATTTCGGTACTGCCCATCTGGTAATGTCCATGTGTAGAGTCACCTCTTGTGTTGTTGAAAAAGAGTGTTTGTGATGACCAGCTTTGTTCTTTTGACAAAACTGTGCTAGCCTTTGCCCTGCTTCGTTTTGATCTCTAAGGCCAAACATACCGGTTGTTCCTTTTATCTCTTTATTCCCTACTTTAGCATTCCAGTCCCCTATAATGAGAAGAACATCTTTCTTTGTTGTCAGTTCTAGAAGGTGTAAGTTTTCATAGAATTGGTAGTTTCAGCCTCTTCAGCATCAGTGGTTGTTGCATAAACTTGCATCATTACTGTGATGTTGAAAGGTCTGCCTTGGATTCGTATTGAAATCATTCTATCATTTTTAGGTTATATCCCAATACAGTGGTGCCCCGCATGACGACCCTGCAGAACAACGAAATTGCATGACAATGACTTTTTCGCGATTGCTATAGCGATCGTAAAACTATGTTTTCTGTGGGTGATTTTTGTTTGAGGTCCTTGCTTCGTGAACCATTTGTTCACAGAACGACAATTTTTCCAGCTCCGAAAAATGGCTGCCCTCTGTTTTCCGGACCCGTGCTTCGCAGGGCAGCCATTTTAACAGCTGATTGGTGCTCGGGAAATGGCTTCCCCTGTGTGCGATATTTGCTGGACGACGAGGTAATTTCCCCATTGGAACACATTAAATGGGTTTCAGTGCAGTCCAATTGTTTTTCACATGACAACGATTTTGCTTAACAGCGATTTTCCTGGAACGCACTATCGTCGTCATGCGGGGCACCACTGTACAGCTTTTCCCACTCTTTTGTTGACCATTTCTTCTACAGGATTCTTGCACACAATAGTAGATACGATAATCGGCTGAATTGAATCCGCCCATTCCTGTCCATTTTAGTTCACTGATGCCCATGATGTCAATGTTTATTCTTGCCATCTCCTGTTTGACCATATCCAACTTACCAAGGTTCATAGATCCAGGTTCCTATGCAGTATTTTTCTTTGTAGCATCGGACTTTCCTTTCACTTCCAGGTGTGTCCACAGCTGAGTGTCCTTTCGGCTTTGGCCCAACCACTTCATTAGCACTGAGCCTACTTGTATTTGTCCTCCACTCTTCCTCAGTAGCATGTTGAATGCCTTCTGAACTGAGGGGCTCATCTTCCAGCGTCATATCTTTTAGCCTTTTGTTTCTGTTCATGGGATTTTCTTGGCAAAGTTACTGGAGTGGCTTGCCAGTTGCTGCTCCAGGAGGATTGCATTTAGTCAGAACTCTCCTCTATGATCTGTCCTTCTTGGGTGTCCTTGCACGGCATAGCCCATATCTTCTCTAAATTACTCAAGCCCCTTCACCACGGCAAGGCAGCAATCCATGAAGGAGTTTGCATAATGGTTTGTTTACTAAGATGTTTTGTCCTTGTAGCTTTTATGTTGTGGAAAAATATTTTAATGTAGATATTGCCTTTTCTACTGATGTGCATTACCAACTAAATAAATAAAAATACAATAACAATAAGATCCAGCATATACAAAATTCACAGGCATGTTATGAATTCTTTCACATTCAGATTGTTGGGGAGTAGAATGTCAGTTAAGGCCCTTCAGAATAACTGTTTGTGTTGCAGCAGATAACAAGAAGAGTGATTGCAACCCACTTAACACTTCTGTTGCTAGTGTCACAGCTATGTGAAATGTAAATCAGTGTTTCAGTTGTCCGTTGATTGGTGGTGACAGTGGTACTAAGTGATTCTGTCATTCTACCATATAGACACTATGTTGCGTGTGTGAGTATTTGTTAGGCCTAATGCGCCTTTACTATATTGTGCTAACTACTGCCTCTGCTATAGCAATGCTTGGCCTTTCCCTCAGCCTTTTCAGGGTTTTCCAATGTGTTTTTAATTTTGTTCTTTGAAGGCTGGGTATACATCTCTTTAGCATGTGAAGAATGTTGCATATAACTATTCCTTCCCCTGCAAAATGCTGCTACTCCTACAGGTATTCCCTAGGGTAGAATACATTCATGTTATCTTTATCTTTCTTTTGCCTGTCCTTGAAAGCTTAGGCAGGTTATATAGCAAATGAGAAACCCGGAGTTTTCAAGAGTGTTGTGGATTTCAGCATAGTTAAATACAGAAAACAGAAACTCAGATTAGTTCTGATGAAAGGTCCTCTCTGCCAAAACTCATTGTGGTGGGCTAATCATGTCTAGCAGAGGCATCCTTCAGTCTTGAGAGACTATGGTAACATGCTCTGTATGGAGGACTTGGAACAGTGTATAGTGTTTTGACGCTGTATGCGAAGCTGGAGTGTCCTGGCTAAGGACAGCTGGCCTGGTTGAGCATGCTCTCACACGTGTTGAAGACCTTCCATTCGACAGCGCTGAAACTGATGATATTCTGAAAAACATGCATGTCTACAGTGGATTAATGGTATCTAAAGCATCTCTTGGTTACTTTTTCTCTTCAGAAAGTAGTATTTAAAGGTTTGCCATTTGAATGCCTAAATGTATGAAAATCTTGCTTTTTGGTGTAGATTGTTGCTATTTTCTTGATTATGATAGGCTGCTTAAGCCACAAAACACTAGAAGGAATAATGGGCTGATTGGTAATGTGGCTTAAGCCACAAAACACTAGAAGAAATAATGGGCTGATTTTAACAATTACATGATAGCATTGAAGCCTTGCCGCCTGCACCAGGGCCGCTGCGTCCGCCGCCTGGCGGGGCTGCTCCCCTTCTCAGTCGGTGGGCATTCCTGGGTGGCCGTCGAAGAGCAGCAGGTGGCTCGCCTCTTGCACCGGCACCGGAGGTCAAGAGGCTCCGCTGTGCCCAGCCACTGTTGCGGAGGTGTCGCTGAAGGAAGCCACGCGGCCGAGTGAGTGCCGCTGCCACCTGACTGGCTCCTCCAGGAATGGGGATGGTGTGGGGTGGCAGTGTCTGCGTCCCAGCGCCAGGAGGTTCAGCCTGGCCTGGGCCACCATTGTGGCCACGCCCACCCCTCTCTTCGCGACCCACCTCTCCAGGCGCTGGAAGGAGAGGCTCCTTCTGGCCGGAGCACTCCGGCCGCTCACCCCAGCCTCGTTCTCCACCATGGCTGGCCCCGCCACCGCCTTGGCTGGCCTATGCCACCGGCCGGGGCCCATTGCTGGCTGCCATCTGCTGTGGCTAGGTTGCAGCGAGGCCAGAGAAGGGGGTAGCAAGGGGCTGATCAGGCAGCTGGGGAACCCCCTCTAGGCAGAAGAGGAGGAGGAGAAGGGGAGGAGGTTAGGGTCGCATCTTCATAACCCCCTGGAATTTCATTTGTACCCCATTTGGGGTAATTTACCCCTGTTTCCTGACCACTGGTATAGGTAAACAAGGGTGGATTAAAGTTGGCTTTTACTGGGAGCTCAAGTTTTCCCTCAAGAAGGGAACTATCACCCTTCCCTTCATCTCCTTTCATCCTCCCTTCAAGGACATCTGCCTCTTCAGATGTCTTCCCTAAGATGGCAGTGGCGTGCAACTGAGGCGAGGCGAGGACAAAAATGTTTCAGCAGTGACAGCCTTTTCCTCCTCCACCACTCTTTCTCCCCCTCCAGCCTGCCACTGCTTTTCCTCTCACCTCCTGCTGTGGCCAGCTGGGCTCACAGGGACTGCAGCTGGGTCATGCCTTCCACCCCTCCTGATCTCCCACTCATGTCACCCAGGCACCAGAGCCAAAGAGGAGCCACTGCCACCACCAGAGAAAAAGAACACACAGCTAGGGATCCCCAGGGACCCAGAAACCTCACAGTGGAGACCGAAGAGAGATTGACTTCAGGGGATAAAGGAAGGAAGGGAGGGGTTGGGTGCATGTGTGCAGAAGGGAAACCAGGGAGGGGGGGGTGAGTCGAGGGCAACATATCCCCCTCTAAAAACTGCAGTGACCGCCCAGAAAACAGTTTATCACCGCCTTGGGGGTCACAGCCCACAGGCTGAGAACCTATGCTTTAATGGTTTAACAATATCAACAACCAGTTACAAAATATCATTTTGCTTCCTCACCAAAACTATGTCAATAAAATAATGAGAACAGAGTTATGTTATTGTGATGACTTTTTTTACATCTGTTCTAGGCATGTTTGAAGTAAAAGTGACTGTTTTTCTCCTCAGAAAAAGTCTGCTCTTACTGAAGATCCATTTAATGATGAAGAGCGTGACAGGCAGGAAGTGGAAAGGCTGGCTAAGGAATTTGAAACGAAATATGTGAGTAACTAGATCTGTTGTAATTACTGCAAACTTGATGACTTATAGGTATTGTCACTAATACCATTTTATACATTAAGAAGTATTCAACTATCTTGATTTCTTTTCTAAAGTAGTTCATGGTGACATAGTGGCCACATTCTCACAAAAAGCTAAATCAGAATTCTGGAGCATTCTCACTTCCCATTCATGAGATGTAGGCTTTTATGTCCTGCCCAGTCACTCCTATTTTTTTGCTCTGCTACTGGGAGTGACTTCAATAACCAGGAGCTCACCAGCAAGAAAAAGCTTAGTGCTGTATCTGACCCCAGGCTCCACGCTTGTCTTTCCCATAGGAACCAGGAGTCATAAGTTGGTTTCAGGCCTTGGCTTTGTCCTCAGTATGGGCAAGTGTTTTTGTTGCTGTTGTTTAGTCATTAAGCCGTGTCTGACTCTTCGTGTCCCCATGGACCAGAGCGCACCAGGCCCTTCTATCTTCCACTGCCTCCCGGAGTTGGGTCAAATTCATGTTGGTTGCTTCGATGACACTGTCCAACCATCTCATCCTCTGTCGTCCCCTTCTCCTCTTGCCGTCACACTTTCCAAACATCAAGGTCTTTTCCAAGGAGTCTTCTCTTCTCATGAGATGGCCAAAGTACTGGAGCCTCAGCTTCAAGATCTGTCCTTCCAGTGAGCACTCAGGTTTGATTTCCTTTAGAATTGATAGGTTTTTCCTCCTTGCAGTCCAGGGGATTCTCAAGAGCCTCCTCCAGCACCACAATTCAAAGGCATCAATTCTTCGGCGGTCTGCTTTCTTTATGGTCCAGCTCTCACTTCCACACATCACTACAGGAAAAGCCATAGCTTTGACTATTCAGACTTTTGTTGGCAAGGTGATGTCTCTGCTTTTTAAGATGCTGTCAAGGTTTGTCATCACTTTCCTCCCAAAAAGCAGGCGTCTTTTTAATTTCGTGGCTGCTGTCTCCATCTGAAGTGATCAAGGAGCCAAAGAGTGTTAGCTGAGTTAAGTCAAAACCACCAGGCCTTTCCCAACAGTGTAATCATTTGTTGTATTACCACAGAATGACACATTAATACTCAAAAAAATCCTAAATGATTATTTGCAAGATAGCACACTTGACACTCTGTCAAGTGTACTATCTTGCAAATAATAATTTGGGATTTTTTGAGTACTAACGTGTCATTCTGTGGTAATACAACAAATGATTAGATTGTTGGGAAAGGCCTGGTGGATTTCACTTAACTCAGTTAACACTCGCGTTGTTCCTGTGGAGGAAGATGTTGCCACTTGTGGCACTTCTTTAGTGCCCTGTGTCAGTTTTCGTCTTCCGTCTGCATATTATGGGGGGCAGTGGTTTTTGTATTAATCTTTCTTAAATCCTTTAATGTGAACTCGTATCTTCACATGTATATTTCAATGTATAAGACGACCCCATGTATAAGGACCCCCCACTTTTGTAACCCAAAAGTAAGAAATCAATATTTTTAACAATAAACAAAACACATTTTTATTTAGTAGTTAGATAACATTTACATACCAGTACTGTCATATTATGCATCACACTTTAACTTTATTCAGGCTCTGGGCTCAGAATGCTTCTGAGCACTGTCTACATGCTCAGCCTCCAATGAGGTGTGTTCCAATTGGTTTGTTCAGCCTCAGCTGATGTCAGGTACGTAAGGCTCGTGATTGGAGGAAGCTAAGTCTCCTGACTGTAGAAAGCTAAGCTTTGTGATTGAAGGAAGCCTGTTTGCAGAGGCAAGGTATGGGACATTTTGTTCTCTACTCAGCTTACTTCTGTGTATATTTTTAGTCTAACAGTTTTAGGAAAAAGTAGCATCTTATACATGGAAAAATACAGGACCTCATAAGGTTTTTGTGCAGTACTTCTCAGAACTTATAGACTTGCCTGATTTAGATGTCTTGGTAAGCTAGGGTAGGCATAGTGTTGCTCATGGGTGTGGAACACCTAGAGCCCCCTTTGCAGCTCTTCCTGACTGAAAATTCTATCTATCTGTCTGTCTGTCTGTCTATTTATTTATTTTGGTGACTACAATCAGTGAGGGAAGAAGATCCTTTAAGGCAGAAGAGAAGGCAAAACTGACTTGATTCCCTTAGAAGTTGGTTACCCTTATGCAAAATCCAAAGTTTGCAGACCTTTTGCTATCAGATTTCTTTTCATTTGTGAAAAATCCTCACTCGTTGCCCCAGTTTAACACAAAATCAGATTTGTGATTTAAAATTAAGAACAACTTACAAAAAATGAGCGTAAACAGTTAATAAAGTTTACCTAAAGAAACAAAATGAATTTAATAAAATAAATCTGTAAATCTCACAGTCCATCCTCAGATTCCTTCATGACTCCTGGGGGCACATGCCCCAGTTTAGTATCCAGGGCTTAGTGAGTATGGTATGCATGAACAGCATGTACCCAACCAAACATGGTCTCTTTTTCATGCTTACTTTTTCTTTCATGAGTTAATGAGCAAACAAAACAGGCCAGGAAGCTGCATTTAACCACAGCTAAACTATATATCACCATAGCTTAAATATCAGTGCACTGGAAATTATTTCTGGTGCCTTCCAAATGAGCCAGATTTTAAAGCCATCTTTAAACTGTGGCTTATTTGATAGTAGTACTGTAAGTAAAGTCTGACAAGATGGAGATGCTGCTGGTCAGTGTAAAATTAGATTTGGGATTCCTCCTGTTGTATAAGGGCCTGTGCCCCCCCCCCCAACAGGTTAGGTTCATAGTCTGGGAGTGCTCCTTGGTTCTGCACTGTCACTAGACTCCCAGATGGCATCAGTAATAAGGAGTACCTTTGCGATTCTGCCTAGAGTTCTGCAAAAGCACTCCTTTAGATAATTCCCCAGCTACAACCTTTATTGAAAGAAAAAAACTCACAAAAAGAATCAAAAATGTTGTGGCAACTTAAAGACTAACTACTATATTTTAATGTTAGCTGTCATACATGAAGTCATCAGACATAAGAGTAAGACTGTATGACTGTCATATGTGTACATAGCTATATGACCAGCTGAGGATACTGTTAATGGGCAAAGTGACAGTGGTTCATTTTTAACAGAATAGGCTATCAGGCTGTGAACCATATCAGTTATCAATCTTATAAGGCAGTATAACGAACCTATGGCACGCATGCCACAGCTGGCACACAAAGCCCTTTCTTCTGGCACGCAAAAATCCTTTTGAAGTGGCTGCAGCTGGGATTCCCCCTTTCTCTTCCTGCCACTGGTTTCTTCCCCACCCCCTCATTTTGAGCACTCGAGCCAAAAAAGGTTTGCCTCCACTGCTAATACCATAGTGGATATAAGTAGCCAACTGTGGGAATCAGTGTAGGATTTCACACTTAAGAATAGCTCAGTGGTTTAGGTATTTGGCTGCAGAGCCAGATGTTGGGAGTTTGATTTCCCACTGTGCTCCCTTGACTTCATGATCTATAGAGTCCCTTCCAGCTCCACAGTTCTAAGAGCTCTTGTTTGGCATTCATCCTTTTTAATGGGTCGGGTTTCCAGCATCTCTATATACTTTAAATCAGCTGTTTCCCTTGTAGTGTCTGTTTCCGAAAATGGTGACTTTCAGGACATTTAAAAAGTGTGCAGGTGCATTAAAATGTTCTCAAACAGGTTTTTCTGTATTGCCATTCCTGATGTCAGATTTATGCCCATTAATTCTTTTGCATCGAAATTGTCCTATGTAGAATGCAGAAGAGCATTGTTGGCAAAGGTTGGAATGGGTCACATTAGCAGAGGAACAAATAAACACATCCCTGTTACTGTGTGTGACACTATTGGAGCCTGTAGTTATATTGCCAGAGTAGATGTGGGGATAGAGCTGGCATCTAGGTTTATATCTCTGTATCAGTGTTGTGTAGTCTGTTGTGTGTCAATCGTTGTTTGAGATTGAGCTCTTTTTTTTTTTGTTAGCATGTACAGGCCTGCCACCTGCTTGGGAAACTGAAGTCAAGGATGGGCTGAAGATCGGATGAGATGCATTTGAGTACAGTTTGCTTGTTTTCTCTTCTGGGTTTGTTCTGCTGCAGGTTGTTTCTGGATAATTGTGCTGCCCAGTTAATTTGTTCTCTGAGCATATTGGATGGGTATTGTAGTCTGAGAAACACATTTTATAGGACCACGAGTTTGGAGTTCTATTGAGCAGATGCGATTATATCTATGGGCTTGACTATAGACAGTAGGTTTTGTGGTGTGCTCCGGATGGAAGCTGGAGACATGCAACACATGCAAGTATGTATATTGAATGCTGCTAAGATGTTTTCAATATAGTGTGGTGCTAAGATACCACGCAGTATCAAAAATGCGCTCACTGATACACATACTTACATGCTTGTAGGCTTGGTCTTGCATCTGTATCCTCACTTGGCCAAGAGGTCCTGTATATATATGACAGTCATAGTCTCACTCTTATATCTGAGAAAAAGTGTAGCTGTTAGTTTTTAAAGTTCCACAGCATTTTGTCTTTTGTTAAGTTGTGTTGTTTGATACTCTTGCACAGATTAACACAGTTACTTTGAAGACTTCACTTGGCAACAGTCATCCTTATCTTAGTTCCATTAGGCCTTTATTGCAATGCACAATTGTATGCCCTTGAAGAAGGTCCAGGATCTTCAGTTTGTGCAACATATGGGAGCTAAGTTGCTAACTGTTGCATGGTATTTTGATTATCTGACCCTGATACTGAAAGACTTGCACTGGTTACCAGTTACTTGTTGTTTAGTAGTTAAGTCGTGTCCGACTCTTCGTGACCCCATGGACCAGAGCACGCCAGGCCAGTTACTTACCAAGTCCAATTCAGGGTATTGGTTTTAACCTTTGAAACATTAAGTGGTTTGGGGCCTCGCTGTCACCTGTCTAATTATGAACCTGTTCAAAAGTTAAAACAGATCCTTTTAAAAAGGCCAAAAGTTTCAGTGATCCATTTAACGAGCACGTGGGAGAGGATTTTCTTTGTGGTTCCCATAGTGTGGAATGCATTCCCTTCTGATATGTTTCTGCTCTGATCAGTTTTAGGAAAGGCGTTAAAAAAGGCTTTTTAGACTGGCATATGATGCCTAGCCGACCTTGCTGTGTTGTTTTTAATTTGCATTGGTCCTGAGTCCTAGTCTGACACTCAGTGCATTATTGTGGATAGAGTGTTGGATTAGAACTCAGGAGACTTGGTTTCCAATCCCCACTTGTCCATGGCAGATTCATTAGGGAGTGGCTCTGGTAAAACCACTTCTTAAATATCACACACCTCAAAAACCCTATTAGAATTTTTCTAAGTTGGATGCAACTTGATCTCATGTGACAACATTGTCTTAAATATAGGCTACATAATTTTCATGAAAGGGGTGCTGTCATGTAACCTGTTTTTTTAGTTGGGTTAGACACTTTTTCTCAACATATTGATAGTAAAAATTAATAATATTGTTTAATGATACACACACTGCTTTATTTATTACTAGTGGCATTTTTATCCCACTTTTCCTCCAGTGAATTCAAGATGGCATACGTGGTTTTTCTCTTTCCCTTCTTATCAACCCAGTGAGGTTGTCAGGCTGAGAGACTGTGACTGGCTGAAATCACCCAATGAATTTCATAAATAAGTGGGGAACTGAACTCATGTTTTCATTCTAACCACAATGCCACACTAGCTCTTCCATTATCGTAACATTTTTGAAGGTGTGTCAGATGCTGTCCATTGATCCGTTGGTTTGTAATTTGTGTGTGTATTGTATATTATTGTGGTTAGCAGCATCAATACATCAGTGATTCCAACTTATAAATATTTATTACAGGGTGGGAAGTCCCACAAGCATCGGAAAGATCGTCTTCAGGATTTAATAGATATAGGTTACGGATATGATGAAACTGATCCTTTCATTGACAATTCAGAGGCTGTGAGTAAAATCTTGTTTGTTACACTAGCATTTTGCCCTTCACCAAGAGATCAGTTCATTATAGCTAGAGTTTCTTTTGGACCCTATTCCAGGTGTTAAATGTTTGCATATTTCCTCTGTGTTAGAGATAGAATCACATCAGATGCCATCACACTTTTGTTTTAAGTTCTCTGCTTTGTGGAAAGGGGAATTGACCACTACCTATAAGCCTTCACACTACTAGTAGTTTGCAGATTAGGCCTGCTTTAGCTCTCTGTACAAGAGGTGAGGATATTGATCAATGGAAGAAGGCCTTTCAGTATGTCTCTTGGACTTAGAGAGAGTCTGCCAGGAGAAATAAGCAGTTGCTTTTTATCTGCATTTTGTAAATTGTAAAAGCTTATTTCACTTTGTGTGAAATATTTCAGCTTACTTATTTGGCTAGTTGTGGCTGTTTGTTGTTTGTATGTTTTTCTTAATATGGAGAATAAAGTGAAACTGCCACAGTTTTCTATAAACTGTTTTGATTGTTAAACAAACAGCATATAAAGTGTTAAAGTTAATTCCTTATGGATACAAGATGCAAGTTAAATGGACAAATGAATAAAACAGAATCATATACAAGATCATTCTGAAGTAAATTTCATTGTGTTCAATGAGTGTACCCTTTAATAAGGATGTTTAGCGATGTTTCTAACATGTGTCTCGCAAGTCTTGATAGATGTCAGTCTTTATTTGTATATAAATGTTATTTCTAAAAAATAGAAATGAGGTGTTGAAAAGATAGTCTTTATGATTTACAATAAATGCAGAAACAATTCAGCTAAACAAACCTAAAGATAAATCTAAAATAGGAGCTAATAGGGGCTATTTTAGAAGCTAACTAGGACTTAGTTATCCAACTAGTTTTCTAAAACAAAGTTGACCAATTATTATTATAGGAGTTTATATCTTACTTTTCCCTACGAAAATAAATTAATAATAGAACTTACAAAATATAAAAAGCATAATTGTAAGGAAAAAAAGCATATTTGCAAAAAAAGTTAGAAGCATCCTGATAGTTTTCCATTATGTTATCGCATTGCTGTGTTATTGCCTGTACACTTGAATATTCTCAGGAATTCTTACAAGATTGTGGGCTACTTGCACACCAGTATGTTAGCATAATAAATGAACATAGCATCCATCACCCCAAACAGGGTATGTCTGTGTGCAACAAAATAATTAATCAATAAATATAAGATTCAGGAATCCAAGTATCTCCTTTTTTCCCTTCATGCAGACACCTATGAATGCACTGCATAGTTCAAAATTATGGTATTTTGATGTGAATATAATTATGTCCTTTGAATATCTCTGTTTTGTTCGATTGTTATTCTTTTAGTTGGCTTTGTGTTTCGCAGAGCACTGGCAACTTTTACTCCAACACTAATCTGATGATATTAGCATATTTGTTTGGTTTAATATCCTGTTTGTCATGCTGTAGTTTATCAAGTGTATTTCATATTATTGAAATGATAACTGTCTCTGAACCTGAATCTTCTATTGCCTTCCCAGTACGATGAATTGGTTCCTGCATCCTTGACTACTAAATATGGAGGCTTCTATATAAACACTGGAACTTTGCAATTCCGCCAAGCATCAGACTCTGAGGAGGAAGACTCTATAGGGAACAAAAAGCATCGACCATCTAAAGTGAGTGATCCTAGTTTGTTCAGGGATATACTTTAGTAATTTGGCATGTTTGCTGTGAAGATTATAAAATATATTCCTGACCATCCATGCCCTAGTCTTCATGGTAAAGTACACATGCTGTTTAATAGCACATGTCACAGTATGCTCAAAATCCTGTTGTTTAGTTCAATGAGTTGTATTAGAATAGGTCCATTGGATCAGTAGGGATTTGGCAAGTAAAGCCCTGCATAAATTCCATTGATATAAATAGGCCTTCTCTAATTATTACTTACATTAGTTTGGTAAGTTGCAATTAGAGTACGCCAATTTAAGTGTATGGAACTTATGGAGGAGTTCTTTTTATGGTCTCTCTTTATATACATTTACTTTCGTTAATTTGGTAAATGGATGTTTTGGATGTCACTTATTCATAGGATTGCCACAATTCAGAGGTAACTTGATGGTAAAGGTTCCCCTTGACATTTAGTCCAGTCCTGTCCGACTCTAGGACGCAGTGTTCATCCCCGTTTCCAAGCCATAGAGCCAGCGTTTTGTCTGTAGACAATTTCTGTGGTCATGTGGCCAGCGTGAGTAGACACAGAATGCCATTACCTTCCCACCATGGTGGTACCTATTCATCTACTCGCATTTTTGCATGCGTTTGAGCTGCTAGGTTGGCAGCAGCTAGGACAAGCGATGGGAGCTCACTCCACCGCATGGATTCAAACTGCTGATATTTCCACCTTGCAGTCCAGAGGCTTTGTTTATAAGATGTTCAGCAGACATATGAAGCTGCCTCTTCTGAATATGCTCATTGACCTATTTAGTGGCAACTTTTATAGGCAAGGGTCTTTCCCATTTGCTTCCTGATCTCTTTTTAACCAAAAAAACTGAGGACTAAGCATGAAAAGGAGAACTTGGAGAGAAAGCAGTTTGTCTCTTTAACTGTGTGAGACCAGGTTGCTTAGGGCTTTATACCACTTATCACTAAGCCTAAAAAACAGATCATACAACACTTTTGTATAATATAATTTCAGCAACCTCAGCTATGTGTAAGGGAGTCTGACAAGCGATTAGTTCTTAAAGAATATTTGTGAGAGAAAAGTAGAGGATAACTCTGATTGTAACCAGGAGTCAGCAGTTTGAACTCCTCCAGATATTGAACTTTGACAACCGTATTAAATCACTATTGGCTATGCGTGCTAAAGCTGATGGTGACTGTAGATTAGCAACATCTGATGGGGCGATAAGGTGTCTATACCTGTTGTAAATGTCTAAAAACATTGACTGTTAGAAACATAATATCAAATTAGATGGATATCAATCTGATCTTCAAAGTGGCTCTTACCTTCTGAGGTGTAATATTATTTCACTGTTAAGACTGTGTTATTCCACTCACCCACACCCAAACCTTTAGGTACCTAAACTGAAAGATGAGGAGGACCACAGCATAAAGAAACGCAAACGGAAAGAGGAAGAAACAGAGAAGGAGAAGGATAAAAAGCCTCGGAAAATGAAAGTTTCAAAGCAGCTGGGGTGAGTTTTTGCTTGTTTGTTTACTTATATATTTAGTAGTGTTTGTAGCTGCAACACTGTACCTTGTTCTGGTGAATGAGTTGACAGTAGATAGTGAAGTATTCCTGTTGTGACTTCGGGTATGAGTTCTTGAATTTATTTAAATTAAATTATAGCATACTCCTGAATAGAACAGTGAGCCCCTGGGTTTTTGTTTTGTTTTTGGTTTGACATCTTGACATAAAGTATACAGGAAAATGGTTAGTTTCTGAAAGTATATTATTCTAAAGTTTTTAGAGACATAAGCACATCAACTTATTCTAAGACAATAAAGGAATAACTGCTTGGCAATTTTCTGTTCTCAAGAGTTCTATATTTTCTTTGAAGCAAGTTAGTCACAACTGATTTGAAGAAAATAAGATCACAAAATATCTACTTTGAAAAAATTTACAATTCACCATATATTACAAGTATAATGAAGAGTATGGAGGCATTGACTAAAGCTAATCCCTCAGTTCTTTACTGTTTGGAAGCAAAATTAGGCAAATAAATTTTTGTTTTCTTTGCAGGGTGATGGCCTTAAATTCACACAAATCTGAAAAGAAGAAAAAAAAGCTGTACAAGGATTCTTTTTCACTGGCTGCAATGATCAGAAAATTTCAGAAGGAAAAAGAAGGCTTTAAGAAGAAAGATGATACAGTAAATCCCACAGTGGCAGTTACTAGTTCTACACCTAATAAACTTCCTGTTCCTCCCATCTCTGGTGGAAATGATGTGTCTGACTTGAACCTTAGCATCACAGATCCAGTTCTTTCCATTTTCGGTACCACAAATGAACGTGAGCTCCTGCAGGAAGCCGAAAGTGCCCTGGAGATGCTAGGAGATATTGATTTTGATCGGTTGCTTGATGGGACCTCTAATGGCAGTCCAGTATCTGAGCCTTCAGGAGAGAATGGAAATGTCACCCAGCCCCCCTATTCCTCTGAGGTCATGACACTGAAACAGGTACCTGCCCTCCCAGAAGGTCTGCCAGCACATTTAGAAAAGCGTGTGGAAGACCTTAGAGCTGTAAGTATAGCTTTCCTAGGTGATAATTTATGAAGAACTGTTATCCAACATACAGTCGAACTTTGTGTTAGAGTAGAAGCATTACGGTGGGGAGCAGTTTGTACTTCCTTGCTTCTAGTGTGCATATTCAAAACAGTTTGCTTTTCACCAATATTATTTATGGAAAAATTTTTCAAAAAACTGTAAATATTAAGTCCTAAAAATACATTGTTGCTTACCCATTAATGCCTATCAAATAAAATACCTGCTCAAAAATACATGTACTGCTATGAGAGAATTTAGTATGTCATTACTCATTTGCTTTGACAGGCCAAAAGTTTTAGCATGAAACATTTCAGATTGAATTATAACACTATACAGTTGTGAAGTCCAAATAATCTTTTTATAAGATACACTAGAATTTACAAGATTTCAAACAGCCCATTGTACAAAAATGCATTTAAGCATCTGTCTGGAAGCAAATTATTTTTATGTTGTAGTGCTTATACCTGCCAGCTTTCTTTGCCAGCATCTGATAAATCAAAGGTGGAGAATTAGATCTTGGATGTGTGGGGGGGGGGTGTTAAAAGAATGGTATCCTGGCTTAAGCAGTTGCCACACAATAAATTGTAGTTCTTTCCTGCGCACTATTATGCTTGTGTCTTGCAAGTGTCCGTGCAGTGCATAACATGATGGTAGGTATAAAAATTATGAATCATGAGGATAACAAAAGCATTTGGTGTGATGTTTCTAAAGTGGTTGTAAGTTGGAAACGATGTGATAGTAATAGTAATAATTATTATGTAATGCTAAAAGTATCTTGGTTTTATTGCTGTTGCTAGGCTGCCAAGCTCTTTGATGAAGAAGGCAGAAAGAAATTCTTCACACAGGACATGAATAATATCTTACTTGAGTAAGTGCTTAGTTTGTCTTTGGGAAGTGTAAAACGTAAGGAGATAATGGCTGTTCTGAACAACAACTGGCCACTAAATTAGGCAAATTCCTTTAGCTTACTAAGAATATTTGTTTGCTTAAAAAATTCAACTTGAAAAGGCAGAAATACAAGAATCTATGTATATGTATGTTGTATAAATCTAATACATTATGTAATCATTATGTATTTGGAGAATTTTATATATCCTGACTGTAGTATTTTATTAATATGATGAGGATTCTTCTCATTGTACTTACAAAGTAGCATAAGAAGGTATGCCACCACTCTTAAGAGGTTGCGGTCTAAATTTTGCCTACAAGGAAAAGAGAAGAACAGTATATGCGATAGGAGATGTAGCACATTTTTTTCTAAAAGAAAAGTTATTAATTACATTTTTACAGCAGCTAGGGTAAGTAAGCACAAGGTACAGAGATGCTTATATATCAGTTTAGTTCTCACTTGCCCCCGCTCCAGGGGCCATGCATCTCTTCTGACTATCCTCTCAGAGAATGAGAGATGGGTGCAGGCCATCCTTTCTCTAAATCTCAATAACTTTGGATTAGTTTATGCAGAAAAATGAGAATTCGATTATAAACCTTTCTCTTAACTAAAGTGGGAAATGCTTTTTGAATGGACAGTAAACAGAAATCTTGCTTAACTGTTTCTCATTAGTTTTGAATTTGTCTTGTATTTGCCAGTATTGAGTTGCAGTTACAGGAACTGAGTCCTGCCATCCGCAGTGGAGTATATTCTCACCTGGAGGCTTTTGTGCCATGTAATAAGGACACACTAATAAAGCGTTTGAAGAAACTGCACCTTAATGTCCAGGTAAAAGTTTCTGCAGCTCATGGCTATTTAAGGATGAGTTAGAATAGGTTCTATGTACAATGAAACCTCTGAGTGTTAAAACCATTCTTTCTTTAGGCTTCTGTCAACCATAGTGCTGCTGTTCCAAGAACAGTGACCATCCACTGGTGTGGGGGGGGTACAGGGCAGATCTCTCATCCTGGATCTCTTCCCTGCTGGAATTGGGCAACCTCTGATCAATTTATATGTGAATTGTTTGTGAAAGATTTCTATCCTACTTCTGTTCCAATAGAAGTAAAGCTCTCTGACTCTACCCATATAAACGAAATGATGCCAGTTTTGTTGTTCTAGTGTAGTGATCTTTGTTTACTATATTTGGACCTACTATACTGAACTGTGATGTTTTTCTAGTATATATTTGTGTAAGTAGATCAAAGTGTTGCTGTGATAATATTTATGAGTTCTTTTGAACTTTCAAAAGGATATTAATGTATATTTTAATTTTGTGTGATTTTTTTAGCTGCTTAAACCTTAGGAAGAAAGGATTTCAGTATTTTAAGTAAAAAGTTTGCCCAGGTGAACCTTTGGGATTGTAGTTCTGTGAGTACTGAGAAGTCTTGTTAGAAGTAACAATATGGTCAGTTAAGTTCATTTTAGACAGAGGAATAAAGTAACAGAATTTTATCTGATATCAAAAATCAAATGATTGAGAAGCTAATAGATACTTCAGGTATGTTAGGGAGAAGGGAGGCTGGCCAGCCTTTGAGAAATAGTACATAAATGAGTTGGCAAGACTGTTTACTTCTTTAACTATTGTGTCCCCTCAGGATGACCGTTTGAAGGAACCATTGCAAAAATTGAAATTGGCTGTCAGCTGTGTCATGCCTGAACAACTCTTCAAATATCAGGAGGACTGCCAGGCACATAGTCAGGCCAGGAATGCCAAGTATGTGCATAAGCCAATTGGCTATTTTGGATGTTTCCGGGAGAAAAGTGATGATATGAAAATAAGAAGGGGGGTAGCTGCTGTTTTCTGTACATGTTTTGTAATTGTTCCTTTGAAATTTAAATTAGAACAAAACTCTGGGCATATGAATTAAGAGGCAATGCAATAGTGGTCCCTAAGAGTGGAGTGGTCCCCAAGAGTGGAAAGATAAAGACATTTGCTATTTTGTTTTTATTTTTTGAAAGCCTCTTGCACAAATCTGTGTGCACAAGAGGAATGATGTCATAAGCAGCTGCAAATTACCACTGATTAAGGGCTTCTTTGTGTGATTTTGGGGTGCATGTGACTTTGTTGCAATGTTCAAAAGTCATGTATACCCCCAAATTGCCAAAAGAAATCTTAAGTCATCAGCGATCTGCTGCTGCTAATGTTATTCACATTGCTTATACAGTGCTACACAATCGAATCTTAGTTGTTGTCTTATTTTGCTTGTAATGTTCTCTTGGGGGTCTCTACCTACCTGAAGAACTATTACGAATTTAAGAGTGCTGCAGTTGCACTGTGAAATTCTTAGTACAAATGGACATAAGTGTTCTTTATCTTTCCTCAGTGTCTCTTCCACATTGCCTGATATTCAACAAAACATGTTGAAACCTAGTTAAAGTCTCAGTTGCAAGAAGGTGGACAGTTGGGATAGTAATGATGGACATCATCCTAACTAACCCCGGGCTAGTTTCTAGAGTTCTAATGTCTTGTCCTAGCAAGGAGGCTATTTTGATTTGTGCTGAAGAGTGTTTCACTAGATATATTCTCATCTTCACTATGTTAAAGAAACATTTCTGTTGTTTATAACTGAGTTGTTGCCACATAGTCAGTGTCTTCCATACTTGATTAAAGTATCAGGTGGATATAAGTTTTGATTGAGCAGTCTTATGTATTTAATTTTTCTGAGATAACCACACTCTCCACAGTTGTCAGCTAACCAGTTGCCCATATGTGTGCTTGCACCCAGACTGTGAAGGAGAGCAAATTGTTTGCCTATAGCTTCTGCTCTTCATATGATCATCATCTATACATATTTGTTGGCTGTTGCATGTAATTTTTGTACCTTTCCTGTTGGTACTTTTTGCAGTGGTTACAAAGTGGAAGATCTAAAGTGGGAAGATAACTTAGTCCACTGCCCAAGACATGTGCCTCCTCCTTTTAAGTAGTGAGGTTTCAAGCAACATTGCCTGGTTAGAGTTCTAGAATCTTCTTGAAATTTTCTTTGCATGAGCAAAGAACCTATTTGTACTGTGTAGGATTGTGTAACTAATATTCTGTGTAATATCAGTTACACAGAGCCAACATATGTGCATTTGGAAATGTAATGATGGGGAAACAAATACACCTGTGCCTCTACATTTGCCAGTCCTATAATTGTTCATTTTTTTTTAGAATGCAAGCAGAAGATGAGCGAGACAAGAATGGCTCTGAGGAGGAAGATGATGAGAAACCAGGAAAAAGAATTGCGGGACCAAGAAAGAAATTCCGCTGGGATGAGACAGTAAGGTATGAGAGTGCTAGCCACTAGAGTAGCGTTTCAGATTATTACACCACAATCAAATGCAACTTGCTTTAGATCCAGATTGATAAGGAAAAGAAACTCAAGAATTGCATGTTTTAACTTGCTGTTCTTTCCCAATTGACTCTGACATAACAGTCAGGGGTCAGTCTACTCTCCAAAAAGCCATCTGTGTGAAGAAGAACCTCAGTAATTTTGCCTTTTTGTTTTACTGCTGTGAGGCAGTTTGTTTTGTTCTGTTCTCCATTTTTTTAATATAAAGTGCCTGTTGTATCTATTACTGCTCTAGTAATTGGTGGTCACCATCTATTCCTCTTCTCCCCGCATCATTTTCCTTCATGTATTAGTGTTTTATGCAATATCTTGATATTATTACCCTGATTTCTTAATCCACCCCATGGCAGGTGAAGCAAAAAAAAGGCAATTTTCATAATGTATTCTGCACTCTGTGGAATTTGAATCTGTTGATTGTGGAATTCTTGAATAACCAGAAAATTGACTCCAGAGTTATGTTTCCAACTCAATAACCCCAGTACCATATTTATTACATGAGTTGTCACAGAACCACAACAATGAAAATGTTGCCCATAATAAGGCAGGAAGGGCATGTGGCCAGAGAAAAATTCATGCAAGGTTGCTGTCAAAGACCTCTATAAAGAGCCACATCTTAAGCAGCCTCTTAAAGGAGGACAGGGAGGGGGCCAAGCACAACTCAGCCAGGAGCTGGTTCCAGAGGGCTGGCTCTATAACCAAGAAGGCCCAGCTCCTAGTCTGGCCTCCTTCATCATGGCAACCTGGAGAAGCATGGCCTGGGAGGATCTGGTGGCACCTGTAGATGACTTTAAGGAAAAGATAGAGCCCCAAATTGCAGAGAGTGTAATAGATAAGCACCAGGATATTAAACTTCACCTGAGATGTCACAGGTAACCAGTGCAGTCAAACCAAGACTGGAAGATTTGATCAAATTTACTCACACCTGCTACCAGTCTGGCAGCCCCATTCTGGACTTGCTGCTGTTTTCGGGTCAACCTCAAGGGGTGTCCCACATAGAGAGCATTACAGTAGTAAATCTTGGAGATTACCAGTGAATGAACCAATATCCCGTGAGCTCCCTTGTCTAGATAGAGGTGGAACTGGGTAATAAACCTCAGATGATTAAAGGCCAATGTGGACACAGCTGCAATCTGGGAATCCCAAGAGAGAGATAGATCCAGGGATACACCCACGTTTTGAACTTAGTCCCTAACCAGAAGGTCTACCCTATCCATCCATCCTAGAGAGAATACTCCCTAACATATCCAAGGAACTCCCTAGGAGGAGAATCTTCTTATCCTGGTTCAGCTTGAGCCAGTTAGCCCTGGTCCATTCCAGAACCTAAGCCATTCAACACTCCAGCATCTGGACAAGATCTACTGTAGATGATGTATAGGAGACATAGAGTTGCATGTCATCAGTATACTGGTGACCAAACTCCAAATCTCCTAGTGACCTCCTTCAGTGGTCTAACATAGATGTTAAAAAGTATTGGGGAGATTGACAGCCCCTGGGGCACCTTACAATTGAGGATCAAAGGGGCTGACATCTTCCCAAGCTACAGTCTCTGGACACAGCGCTCAAAGAAGGACTGGAGCCAGTTGAAAACCAAGCCCCTGATCGCCATATCCGAAAGCCTGTCCAGGAAAATACATGGTCAACAGTATCAAAACCACTGAGAAATCAAGGACTACCAAATCTATCCCTATGCCCCACCATATGAGGAAGAATCTGAAAAATAAACTATGTTGATATAATATAAAATAGTGTAACCATGCTGGTCACCAAAAAAATAGCTAAAGAATAGGTTTCTTTCCAGAATAAAGCTACAGCAAGTGATTGTAGGTCTGAGGATAAAATAGAAAAGATTGTAGGTGTAGAAGACATGCATTAGTACATTTCAGCATACTAATAGCTGTTGTACTTAAGTGTGTTGTCTTGTTTTGTTCTTTAGAGCATTGTTGTGTAACCTTGTCAAGATAAAGCTGGGATGTTATGAGCTAGAGCCAAATAAAAGCCAGTGTGCAGAAGATTACCTCAAGACCTTTATGGAAACGGAGGTGAAGCCACTTTGGCCAAAAGGCTGGATGCAAGCTAGGTATGGTATTTGTGCAAATTCAGATGTTGCCTATTTAGACTTCACTGTGACCTCTGTTGAGTTAAATGTCACTCAGAGTTTAGGTATTTAAATTAGAGTAATAATTTATTCAATTTTTCAATTCTGTTACATTGTGATTTGAAATGCAACATATATCAGAACTTACAAAATTAGACAAATGGTGCATTAGCGTCACACTTGTAAGAGCTGAACTTTAGCCCAAATGAAAGTTCCTTATAGGATTGTAAAGTTTTAGTAAGAGAGTTCAGAGATGGAATAATGTGTTGTTGTTTTTTAACCTCAACTCCCACAATATGCCAGCCAGATGAACAATTCTGGGAGTTTTCCAACTTTTCTCATCTCTGAAGAAAAATACAGTGGTGCCTCACTTAGCGACGTTAATTCGTTCCGCAAAAATTGCTGCAGAATGAAAACATCGCTGTGTGATATTAAAAAGCCCATAGAAATGCATTGAAATCCCTTCAATGCGTTCCTATGGGCTTAAAACTCACTGTTGAGCGAAGATCCTCCATAGCGCTGCCATTTACGGTGCCTCTAAAGCGAGGAATCCGTCCCTAAACACAGCGGGCGGCCATGTTTTTTCCCCGGTGGCCATTTTGAAACCGCCGATCAGCTGTGCGAAAATGGGGGTTTTGCAATGATCGCTTCCCTGCAATCATCACAAAGCAAAATTTCCCCATAGAGAACATTGCAAAGTGATTGCTTTTGCGATCGTAAAAACAATGTCGCTAAGCGACTTCATCACTAAACGGAGTGATCACTAAGCGAGGCACCACTGTACAAACTTATTAAACATCTGGTTTTGTGTACATTTCTAAACTCTTGGAATTATTGAAAGGTAACTTGGTTAATGTGAACTGATTCAGTGGGACAAAGGCAGGGAAGCAGTTTCTTAGGTATGGATATGTATCAGCTTGGAGTTCAAGGTGTATATCAATGGATCTAGGAGGATGGAAGATTATAAACCAAAATAGCAAAAAAATAAATAAAATAAAATGGAATATTATTTTTTTAATAGTCTCTCCTTTTTTAAAAAAGTTATGTCCAAAACAGCTTATGGTAAGATTGCACTATTAGCTACAAGTGTTTTAGTTTTGTCTGAATAGTTTGTTAGAAATGCAGTGTCATTTGGAACACAGCCATTTCATTTAAATCTTGATTCAAGCTAAATCATAAAACCAAGTTAATCTGGGAGAGTAGCTGCAGGGTATGTGTATGTCTGTCAGTGAGTGATTAAATGAAAGAATATGAGAATACAGGTGATACCTTTCCCCAAATACCCAGATATACATCCAGGATTTTAATCTCAGTAGAAATTTATCTTTTGATGCATGTTGTTCTGCATGGTACATTGTGGAATAGATACTGCTCTACCATGAAAATTCTGTCTGCTAGCCAGAGGATTTGAAGAAATCTATTGGTAATTTTCCCATAGTCTCAGAGACTGACCAGTTTCTGCTCTGAGACTCTTGTCTTTAAAATTAATCTTAAACTATTTATGTTCTACTTAGCTTGACAGAAGCAGGGAGTGTAAGCTTAGTAGTGTAGCTGTTCTCCTTTGCTATCTAGCAAAGTCAGCTTACTGATAGCTTGAAATAACAAATACTGTTAATACAGAAAATTAAGTATGCTACTGTAAAGCATTAATTTGTGTTTTCTGCTGTAAGTATACTAGTTTTTTATGAACCCCGAAGCTTATTTCTTGTACTGAAGAATGTGCAGGCCCAGGTATGCAAGACAAAGACAAGCCACAGAACATCAGCTTAGGTAAGAGAGGATGTAAAGAGTTTGAGAGGTAATTAGTAGTCTGCATACAGTGATGTCCAAAGATGATCAAATTTGCAACTGAAAATTGGCTACAGATAATGATGACAGTAAAAGTAATTTCTAAAAATCCTAGGACACAAATTAATATGTGTGTGTTTCAGAGATACCATATGCACTTTGTGTCTAAAATTATTTTCATTTGGTGTAAGACGTTTTGGAACAAGAAATATATTATGCAAAATTTTTAATGTCAAGTGGAAAAAGACATAGTTCCCAGAAGGTGTAGGCATCCTTCAATCTCAAGAGACTATGGTAATGTGCTCTGAATAGAGGTCTTTGAACAGTGAAGACAAATACAATCCGTCCCCTGTCCAGCTCCCTGATTTTGCTGCTTTTGGGACTGCCTCTTTGCCTCGGCCTGCTGAACAAGTGTCTCTTCAAATTGGGAGAGGCCATGCTGTACCGCCTGCCTCCAGGCTGAACGCTCTGATGTCAAGGTTTCCCATCTGTTGAGGTCCATTCCTAAGGCCTTCAGATCCCACTTGCAGATATCCTTGTATCGTAGCTGTGGTCTCCCTCTGGGGCGATTTCCCTGCACTTATTCTCCATACAGGAGATCTTTTGGAATCTGACCATCAGCCATTCTCTTGACATGCCTGAGCTAACATAGGCGTCGCTGTTTCAGTAATGATATCAAAAATGTGTCAGAGACAATGTGTATGGAACATGTTGAACTTCCTCTCCTGCCGTGCACAAAGGGTCCAGGACTCACTGCAGTACAGGAGTGTACTCAGGACACATTTTGTGAAAGGGCTTTCACAGCTTCCAGATTTTTGGCAGTAGTCCATCTTAGTTTTAATGGCTGCCATGTTTTCAACAGTGTTCCTGTTCAGGTGCTATAATTTGAATAAACTCACCAAGCATGGTGAGCCCTGGCCCATCTCAGATTTCATCACCTTCCTACATGTGGAGGGCAACAAATTCGTAGAAGAGTTCCAGAATCTATGGACACTCTTCATGTGAATTAAGATTCTAGAAAATACCACAAAGAGTTCAGACAGACAACAGCACTCCCTGTCTTCAGTTTTGTCATTCTTTGGACATAGGAGGGAACTAGCAGGGATAACAGAGGACACAGAGCCAGAGTGTCCCTCTCTGTGTGGCGAGCTTACTCAAATTATAATGTCTCAGTAAAGTTAATTTAGTACTTTTTATCTGTGTGCATTTCCTTGATAACTATTTCTGTTTACATTTTGATGTTTTAGCTATCTCTTCATTAAAACTGATACCAAAACTTGTGAGTTCAGGAGGCCTAAATGGTACTGGAGGACACGGCTTTGCACTGAAAAGGATCTTGTATCTCTTGGGCTGGTTAAGATAATAACCATATGTGATGTCTGCCACCAATCCAAAGTCACTGCCAATTCCAGGCCTCTCACAATGCCCACCACGCCACTACACTCTCTTGCTGCCACCAACCTTTCTTTTAAATGAAAAAGACAAGGGTTTCTTTCAAACGTAAAACTGGTTTATTGGTTACAAAAATAAAATATGAAAATCACATGAAGATAATCAAGATGGAAATCACTTTCTTATTTTAATTAAACACATAGACTTTCCCTCACTGACACTCAGGCACGCAGGCCTCTAACAAACTCTCACACTAGATCTCTCCAGATCTCACTCACTAACTCAATCTCTCACACTCTTCACCCCCCTTTTTATACCAGCTCCTCCCCTTCAGTTCCACCCTCCGTCACACCATTGGCTGATGACTCACAGCCCAGCTGTGACGGACAGGTGAGGTCATGGCCGCCCGTTACACCATACCAAGATGCAGGGGAGGGGGTATCAGGAGACAGGTATCTAATTGTCTCGAGTCCTGTCAGAGGCATCTGGTGGAGCCAGTGTGAGATACAGGAAGCTGGACTAGATGGACCCTTGGCCTCATCCAACTTACTAAGTCCAAATATTAATATGAATGTTGCCTATGTGGAATCTGTTTGCACAAGCTACTATTAAACCAAGAAGTTTCTAATCACAGTTTCTCTGTTTAAACTAAACTTTAGTTACTAGTTTCATAATAAGCCGTAGTCTTCTACCAGATTTTGAAGTTGGTTTGAGAGATTTTATTTATTCTTCAACATTACAGTGCTTTCTCCTAAAAACAGATGCCCTGTTATCATTAACTCCATTTTGTTGTAAGTCCTCATAAAAAAAGTTGAAGATCTCTCTGCAAATCCTGTATGCTACACCCCTGTTTTCTGCTCTGTGTAGACAGCACAACTCTGCCAGTTCATGGAGGTAAACTAGACATACAGAAATATGATCAATTCTCAATTGTCAGTCTGCTGTTGCATAGCGTAACAGAAAGAGTATAAAAGGCTGCATGTTCTGGTTGTAGACATAAAAAGAATGCTGGTAAATGTCTGTGTGGGTGTATTTCTGGATTTCCACAAAACATTTTTGTTTTTAATTTCATGCAGAGGTGGGCAGAATACAGTCTGATAGCACATGCAGCCCCAGTGGAACAAAGTACAGCCTCTCAGCCGGCCCTGTTCCCCCACATCCTTCACACTAAAATCCAACTCTGAAGTTTATGATGTGTTCTGAAACTAGTAACTAATTTTCATTTAAACTGAGGAACTGTGATGACATGGTCAGTGGAACCAAGGAATGGAATGGAACTAAGCTGCCTATGTGAGATTTTGCAGATCTGACCTTAGGAACCTGTTCAGCTAAAGACCTAACGTTTGAAAAAACTATTGTGGTTCTGATGGAGCTTCTAGTGATATATGATATTAAATGCAAATCCAGATTAGGCAAATAATGAATTTATAATTGTGGCTAGAATTTCAAATATTCTAATTTGAATACTGCTTAAATACCAGGAAGCATAGTTGGCCTACTCCTTCCATCATAAGGCTAATAAGCTTGTTACTGTTTGTATTGGATTGTACTGTTAGAATAGAGATATTGTAAAACATATATGATGTAATGGTCCTTAACCTATTCTGGGTCATAGGTCCCTTTGAGAATCAGTTCACAAGTTAAGAACCCCTGCTATACTGGAAAAATCTTTATTGTGGATTAGTTTAATGTAAGGTAGTATTGTGGTAGACACCAATATTGATGTTAGCAGTTCTGGGTAGTCTTCCCTTTGTCATATTAGGTCAAGTAGAATTTTTTCCCTTCTCTCTACAGGATGCTTTTTAAAGAAAGCCGAAGTGTTCATAATCACCTCACATCTGCTCCGTGAGTATAACATTAATGTTTGGTTCTGTTTCATCTTTCTTTCCTTAATAAATATTTTAGAGTCTCACATTAATTTATTTTATTAAAATGGCTCTTGCTGTTGACAACTTCTGTCTGTAGTCTGTGGATCATGGAATTTTCTATATTAATGTCTTAGTCTTAATACTTTTGATGATCTTGAACCCATTGGTATATTTCAAATCAAATGTCTGTAGTAAGATTCATTGAGTGCAATACAAGGGGATGCTAAGTATTGAGCCTTTCCCGGAACAAATTGAGCTATGAAGCCATAAATTGCAGGGTGTATTGCCCAATTAGTCCGTATTCAATGGTGCAAAAATCAGCTATCTATGATTTTAAGTTATCTTTCATGTTCGAGTCCAAAGTGAATATGGCACCACCTCCAGAAAAGTTCAATGTGGAAGAACATAGGACCATAATGAAGTTCCCGTTTCTCCAAGGGAAAGGTGCAAAGCAGATCCATGATGAAATGTCACAAGCTATGAGTGACAGTGATCCTTCATATGCAACAGTTAAACTTTGGGTTGTCAATTTTAAAACTGGCCATTTTGGTGTTGAAAGGGAGAAACACGGTG